CAGACTCGCTAACTTGGTTGACACATGTCATCATATCCCAATTACGGAGTTGGGTATTCAAGCTGTTCATCACTGGATTGTCTGGTCCTGACACGATTATTTACAGAGCCGCCATATAGCTGGAATATTGCTGGGTGCGGCGTTAAACAACACGCCAACCGACCAACCAACCAACCAAGTCATCCAACAGCTCCTTCTAAAGAGAGTGCCCTATTGGTAAGGACTTTGAGTTAGGTGTCTTCCCTCTGTAGCTTCCCTTCAAGCGTGGCCATTTTTTCACTTTTGAATTATATCTTGAGTTTTGAATGTACTTAGGGAAGGGGATGATTTTAACTGGGAGAGAGTTCCCCAGAGAAGCTTAGATTATAGCTCGGAACAGCGAGTAACAGTTGTTGTGATGAGCGTAGAGTTCTTTCTGGAGAATATTGTGTCAGTAGGTCTTGAAGGCAGGAGGGTCCTGAGTTGCAGAAAGACTGATAGGTGAGGGAGAGAATCTTGAATTCAATCCTTTCACGAATACGGAGCCAGTGTAGAGAGTTCATGATGGGAGAGATGTGGCAGCGAGGACTGGGGAGATGATGATAAGTGCAGCCTGTTCTGTTTTCTTAAAGACGATGAAGTTGGGACGAAGAGATGCCCAAAAGGTAAACTGTTGCAGTAATCCAGGCGGGATAAAATCAGTGTCCGCACATTGTGTGGCTTCTTTTGTCAGGACTTTGTGGATGCTGCCACTGTTCTTTAGATGGTAGTGGCAGGTCTTTACTAGATGATTTATTTGCTTGTCCATGCTGAGGTTTGTGTCCAAAAGAAAGCCAAGGTTTTTCACAAGAGGAGAAAAAAGGAATAGAAGATTGTGGAGGTTCTGTTTTATCGTCGTCAAGTTTCAGTTTGTTGGCAGACATCCAGGATCTTGTGCTGGAGAGGCATGCTTCAAGGTTGGACTAGCACTCTAGCTGACTTTGTTGTGAAGACTTAAAACTTTCAAACAGTCGGCTGTCGTCCGCATAGAAATGATGAGGCACTTGGTAAACAGACAAGTTTTCCGAACGGTTGAGTATACAGGTAGAAAAGTTCCAAGAACTGATCCCTGGTGAATGGACTGGGTTCTGTGTGAAAGGTAGGATCTTAGCCAGTCAAGAACTGTATTGGTTAAACCAAATTCTTTCAGCAAACGCTTAAGACGAATTTCGTGGTAAGTTGTGTCGAATGCCGCAGATAAATCCAGGAGGACAAAGCTGAGTCACCATGGTCGACTGCAGATCTGACAGTGTTCAAGACATAATTTAGAGCAGTACACAAAATGGACATAATCTGGAATTTCTTGTTCGACGAGATTTTCTTCCAGATGGGCTGAACAACGGAATACACAAAGCGTTACGATAAGCTGGCACATCTAGGCAAGTTAAATACACCTCTCTCTCAAATGAAAGTCTAATGTCACGAACAATTATGCTCAGCTTTCAAACATGAAGCCCTAGATTCCCCATACGTTTTACAATTGACTGACAATGTTTTCTGTCACAAATGCATAGGTTAATATACCATGCGCTCGAAGATCTTCACTTGTGAACAAAGAAAACTACAGACTGTCCATCAGTTCCTCCTCTTTTGAGAGACGCATTCGTCTATTTGTGGCTAAAATTGGTTCGTTAATTTTACAATTAGTATGGCAATAAATGGAAATGAAATAATTAAAAACAGATGTATTTCACTGATGCACATATAAAGCATATCATTTGCTATCTGAAGAGGAAAACCTGTACACATGGCCATCATTCTTATGAACTGGATTCCACAGCCCAATAAGACGGTACAAGGAGAGACATATATTGCTGGGTCCTGTAAATATACCATAACATCGTTTTCTCAAAGATAAACCGTAATCCTTAATACTGGCAAGGAAGGACTCTACATTCACAGAAAGTATTTGAGACAAGCAAAACATGCAATGCAACAGTGCATTGCTGATGTCAGTACATGGATGGAAAAGAACAAGCTGAAACTCAATTCAGACAAAACGGAGGTGATTTTGTTTGGACCTCCATCCAGGTTACGGAAATGTACTTTGGATCATCTGTCTATCGGGTCAGCTGACATCACCTTCAAGTCATCTGTCAAGAACCTCGGTGTGTACCTTGACTCCTCGCTATCCATGGAAGATCACGTGAGCCACTGCTTCAAGGTCAGTCATTACCACCTGAGGAACATCAGTGCCATCAGACATTTGCTGACGAGAGACGCAGCTGCCTCCCTCGTGAGATCTCTGATATTCTCTCGATTAGACTATTGCAACAGTTTGCTCTATGGAATCACCAAACAACAAATCAGACGTCTGCAGCACATCCAAAACTATGCTGCCAGATTGGTCACTCGGACGAACATAAAGGCACACATTACACCAGTGCTAAACTCGCTTCACTGGCTTCGCATTCCTGAGCGAATCATTTTCAAAATACTCTCACTCACTTACCAAGCTGTCCATGGTACTGGACCTGCCTATCTGAGTGATCTGACTGTCTCATACCTCCCTTCAAGAACTCTACGCTCTAGTCAACAACAGCTCCTTCGGGTGCCTGTCACCAAACTTAAAACTTTCGGCTCCAGATCCTTTTCTGTCTCAGCCGCTATTCTGTGGAACTCTCTACCCGAATCACTGAAGTTCATTCCATCTCTTGAAACTTTTAAATCCAGTCTTAAATCCTACCTTTTCAAGCACTATACCTAAAAGATACATAACTCATACCACTGTGGAGAACTCAACTGCCTCTGTTTCCATCGTTTGAGGCAATGCGCTTTGATCATACCTTCATGGCGTGGATATAGCGCAATATAAGTGCCATTATTATTATTATTATTATTATTATTACTACATGTATGAGGATTCTGTTTACAATCTCAGAAACGGACCGAGTTCAGTTCTGTCAAAACATTTCATTTGTCAATGTTGTACACCACTATCCCGCGTGACAAAATCTATCATTAGAGGCTAAGGGTGATTTATCAGAAATGAAAGTAAATGTCAGCGGAGATGGACTGTGAAAACACTGTGTGACAAGCTTAACTTCCTCATTGATAACATCAGCGTAAACTTGGTATAAAACATTTAGACAAGAAAGAGGCATCCCCATGGGCACAGCTGTGCTCCTCTTCTTGTGGATCTTGTTTGTACGCATTTGAGTGAAAATGTTTCTGTTAAGGTTGGCAAAATCAAAACCAGATATTTGGTCAAGAAGCTTAACTTAACACCTTCTAGTATATCAATGTTCTAGCATTGTCCAACAACCATTAAAACGCCATTTCTCTTCCACTGGTTTACGTAAGTCAAGTCGTAAGTCGGTGTGAAGGTATCGGAGTTACCTAACATAGATTTGTACAATAGAAACCTGAACTTGGAATGATGGAGACAAATTAGACCGCATAAAGTGTTCACATTTTGATCTATGCATACGGATTCACAGTAAAAAGAGAAATCTCCTGAAGGCCGTATGACAAAGGGATGATTTCAACTTTCCAACAGCCAACTCGCCCTTCATGTCGAGCAGTGTTCCAACAGCCAACTCGCCCTTCATGTCGAGCAGTGTTCCAGCAGCCAACTCGCCCTTCATGTCGAGCAGTGTTCCAACAGCCAACTCGCCCTTCATGTCGAGCAGTGTTCCAGCAGCCAACTCGCCCTTCATGTCGAGCAGTGTTCCAGCAGCCAACTCGCCCTTCATGTCGAGCAGTGTTCCAGCAGCCAACTCGCCCTTCATGTCGAGCAGTGTTCCAACAGCCAACTCGCCCTTCATGTCGAGCAGTGTTCCAACAACCAACTCGCCCTTCATGTCGAGCAGTGTTGCAGCAGCTGCAGCCTTTGGTGTTTACATTTCACAACTGTACAATCGACCATGCCCTTTTTACCAAGATTTCAAAGAGTCTCATGCCACTTTTGCCCAAAGGTTGCTCGATCAAGGTTACAACATTCCAGTCTCAGTACCGCTTTCAAAAGGTTTTATGGTGGACATGTGGAAGAAACTTCAGAATTTTCTCCATCAGTGACAAATGATATCCAATGCAATTCCCTATTTTGACTTGTACTATACGTTCCCGAATATTTTCAGGTGAACAAATGACGAGGATATGTTTGTGACGGGTGTCACCGGCAGGATATGCTCACCATATCGCGAACATCTGGTGTCATCACTATTTGATAGTGATTCATAAACACATGATCTGTCATCGTATCTCATAGTGTCATCGCTGGATTGTCTGCTCCAGACTCGATTGTTTGCAGACCGCGTCGTACTGCTGTAATACTGCTGAATTTCTACGGAAATGTACAGATGTAGAAAGGGTTTTGTTGTTTCAGTTTTCAAGACATTTCTGTTGTCCCCCGCCGTGATATTGCTGGAATATTGCTAAAAGCGGCGTAAAACTAAACTGACTCAGTTTTCAAGAGCTTTTCAGAAGGGTCTTCATCGACTTTGTTAGTCCTTTGCATAAAAATATTCAGGCAATCAATACACGTTTACTATCATGTGTTTCCAGAGGCTATTCCCTTACGGAATATTACGACTCGGGCCATTATAAAGGCTTCGGTGCAGCTCTTCACTGTGTTTGGTTTTCCTAAGACTATTTAATCTATGCTTACAGTTTCAATTATGATGCATTCTCATATATAAACAACCAAATGTGGCATAAAAAATGTGAAATTTGTTCATATACATCTATGTATTTGTCGTCCCAGAGACCATATAATAGATGGTCTCTGGTCCTCCTAACCGTTTTATACTGGTCATTGGGCAAATGATTATGACGTCTTTAATACTGCAGTGAAGGCGTCTATATACGAGGCATTGTTCATTCCATCAGACTTTTAGAAAACGATCCACATAGCAGGATTCCATATAGGAACTGGACTAACTAGGTGAATGTCACGTTACACAACAGAAATAATCAGGACGTATGTTGCATGCCAACATATTATGAGGTTAACCAAACAATCCGAGAGGACCCGAATGTACCTTTGCCTTAGCTTCCTTCTCAAGTTCCTGAAGCATCTGAAGGTCAGCGAGCCTCTTCTTAACCTGCCCCAGATCCTGTTTGACCTTGGTCAACTCCTCCAAAGCCTCATCCCTCTCCTTACGGTACACATCGACCTCAGTCCTGTTGTCGGCCCCTCCCAGCTTCGTCGTGGGTTCGGGTGTAGGGGGCGTGTCAGGAGGGTCAGACATCATTTCATGATCACCCTCTGCAACAATACCTGGAAATATATCTTTTCGATATATCGTTATTATTATTAATATGCTTCCAAGAACAAAGCCCTTCTGACACTCTCTGTTATACAGAAGGCTGCAGTGGTGGAGGGTCTACACATCTTCTGAAATATTCTAATGGGTTCGACTTGGCAGCGCTTCCTGGGAAAAAGGTCCACATGTATGACATCGGACACCTACTTACTGTATTGGATTAGGACCCTAACACTAAACCCCTCACAATAACCCTAATAAATATAATAAATTGACCGAAGCGGCACGAAAATGGCTGACGTGTCCGGTGTAGATCGAATGCATTATGTTCATACCTATAGTAGGGTACTTAGCAGAACACTGGCGCTGGAACAGAGACACTAACACAAAGGTTTCAGACAAAAGCTGCATGCAGCTACGATGCACAATGTATACAATCACGGCACTCAACTTTACTCACATGTAGGTCAACATCTGTAAACAGAACGTTTTGTTCAATGTTGCCATAGGACTGTCGTTTACTTTTGTGACGTCATTCTGTGACGTCACGACGTATGTGTCGTCATAAAGCAAAATTTCCATAGCTCTGGGTGCCGTTGTACAAAACAACCTTAGCGCAAAGACTACCTAAGTCTATGTTAAGGTATGGGAGTTACGGTCACCTTAGCGCTAAGATCGCTTTGTACAACAGCACCCTGATAACGTCAAACATGAAAATAATACCTTGGAACAGTGCTGGAAATGCTATTTACACCATTTGAGTACTTGCCATCGACGCTATGCTCGCGTACGTTTATTTTGCTGTACTCCAGTATGTTTTTGACAACAATATAACATCTTTGACAACAATATAACATCTTTTAAGAGGCATTTTAGAAGTTAGATTGGTGAAGGGAAACCAAGTTTTATGGATAGTCAACTTCTTTATTGCAATGAGTGCCACTTAATAGATTGGGCATGAAGATCTGGAATGCTTATTCCTAAATCATCAAGAATTTTCTAGCATCCTTCTCTTAGGTTTATAACTGGAGCTAGATATTGCATCTCACCTCAGATTACATCTCAAGGTACCAGAAGACCTGCATTGTATATGATGGCCTTTTCTTGTCGTAGTTGCGAGTTGGATTTCTGTTACTGAGACATGCATATGACCACCATTGTCTATACTGGTGTACTCGATGCTCCAATACTGTATCACCTCTCAACTTGTACTGCCGCTCTATTTCTTCAATACCAAGGCAGTATCTTTCTAGAGATTTGTATTGATTTGTGAACTTAGTTAAGTTTATGATACAATTGTTACTTACAGCACATTTCTTTGGTATTGTTTGGTTTCCTACCTGTTAATATTTTTCAACCTGTGAATCAACCCGGAACATTATTCTGAAACGTCGCCGATAAACCGAGAATCTGTTGGGAGGGTGTATCAATACAGGTGTGGGGTGGGTGTATACGGCTGTAGTGGGTATCAATACAGGTGTGGAGTGGGTATAAATACAGGTGTAGAGTGGGTATCAATACAGGTGTGGAGTGAGTGTATACAACTGTAGTGGGTATCAATACAGGCGTGGGGTGGGTGTATACGGCTGTGGTGGGTATCAATACAGTTGTAGAGTGGGTATCAATACAGGTGTGGAGTGAGTGTATACAGCTGTAGTGGGTATCAATAGGTGTGGAGTGGGTGTATACGGCTGTGGTGGGTATCAATACAGGTGTAGAGTGGGTATCAATACAGGTGTGGAGTGAGTGTATACAGCTGTAGTGGGTATCAATACAGGCGTGGGGTGGGTGTATACGGCTCTAGTGGGTATCAATACAGGTGTGGTGTGGATGTATACGGCTGTAGTGGATATCAATGCGGTTGTAGTGGATATTAATACAGGTGTGGAGTGGGTGTATACGGCTGTAGTGGGTATCAATACAGGTGTGGATTGGGTATCAATACAGGTGTGGGGGTGGGTGTATGCGGCTGTGGTGGGTATCAATACAGGTGTGGAGTGGGTATCAATACAGGTATGGGGGTGGGTGTATACGGCTGTGGTGGGTATCAATACAGGTGTGGAGTGGAAGTATACGGCTGTAGTGGGTATCAATACAGGTGTGAAGTGGGTGTATACGGCTGTAGTGGGTATCATTGTGGCTGTAGTTGGTATCAATACAGGCGTGGGGTGGGTGTATACGGCTGTAGTGGATATCAATACAGGAGTGGGGTGGGTGTATACGGCTGTAGTGGGTATCAATACAGGTGTGGAGTGGGTGTAAATACAGGTGTGAGGTGGGTGTATACGGCTGTAGTGGGTATCAATGCGGTTGTAGTGAATATCAACACAGGTGTGGAGTGGGTATCAATACAGGTGTGAAGTGGGTGTATACGGCTGGAGTGGGTATCAATACAGGTGTGAAGTGGGTGTATACGGCTGGAGTGGGTATCATTGCGGCTGTAGTTGGTATCAATACAGGCGTGGGGTGGGTGTATACGGCTGTAGCGGATATCACTACAGGAGTGAGGTGGATGTATACGGCTGTAGTGGGTATCACTACAGGGGTGGGGTGGGTGTATACGGCTGTACTGGGTATCAATACAGGTGTGGATTGGGTATCAATACAGGTGTGGAGTGGGTGTATACGGCTGAGGTGGATATCACTACAAGGGTGGGGTGGGTGTATACGGCTGTAGTGGGTATCAATACAGGTGTGGAATGGGTATCAATACAGGTGTGGAGTGGGTGTAAATACAGGTGTGAGGTGGATGTATACGGCTGTAGTGGGTATCAATGCGGTTGTAGTGAATATCAACACAGGTGTGGAGTGGGTATCAATACAGGTGTGAAGTGGGTGTATACGGCTGGAGTGGGTATCATTGCGGCTGTAGTTGGTATCAATACAGGCGTGGGGTGGGTGTATACGGCTGTAATGGGTATCACTACAGGGGTGGGGTGGGTGTATACGGCTGTAGTGGGTATCAATACAGGTGTGGATTGGGTATCAATACAGGTGTGGAGTGGGTGTATACGGCTGTAGTGGATATCACTACCGGGGTGAAGTGGGTGTATACGCGTGTACGGCTGTAGTGGGTATCTATACAGGTGTGGAGTAGGTGTATACGGCTGTAGTGGGTATCTATACAGGTGTGGTGTGGGTGTATACGGTTGTAGTGGGTATCAATGCGGTTGTAGTGGATATCAATACAGGTGTGCAGGAGTGGGTATCAATACAGGCGTGGGGTGGGTGTATACGGCTGTAGTGGGTATCAATACAGGAGTGGGGTGGGTGTATACGGCTGTAGTGGGCATCAATACAGGAGTGGGGTGGGTGTATACGGCTGTGGTGGGTATCAATACAGGCGTGGGGTGGAGTGTATACGGCTGTAGTGGGTATCAATACAGGAGTGGGGTGGAGTGTATACGGCTGTAGTGGGTATCAATACAGGAGTGGGGTGGGTGTATACGGCTGTGGTGGGTATCAATACAGGCGTGGGGTGGGTGTATACGGCTGTAGTGGGTATCAATACAGGAGTGGGGTGGGTGTATACGGCTGTAGTGGGCATCAATACAGGCGTGGGGTGGAGTGTATACGGCTGTAGTGGGTATCAATACAGGCGTGGGGTGGAGTAATATACGGCTGTAGTGGGCATCAATACAGGCGTGGGGTGGGTGTATACGGCTGTAGTGGGTATCAATACAGGAGTGGGGTGGGTGTATACGGCTGTAGTGGGTATCAATACAGGCGTGGGGTGGGTGTATACGGCTGTAGTGGGTATCAATACAGGAGTGGGGTGGGTGTATACGGCTGTAGTGGGTATTGATTCAGGTTTAAAGTGTATGTTTACGGCTGTAGTGGGTATGCGTATTGAAAACATTTTAATACAACCGTGGTGTGTTGTTTATAATCCCTTGATATTCTCAGTGTTCGAAACATTGAGTCGTTCTAGAATAACTCATCATGCGGTATACAGTTCTCGAGGTAGTTCTTGCTGTTATTGTGTCAGCTGATGCAGCGAACTGGACCGGTCTGTGGGTAGCTTTCTCACGATCCGATATATATATATATAAATATATATATGGAATGTTCTGATCATCTCGATTCCAAGGGCTACTTTGTTCACTCGATCATACCTTATATTAATTCCTAAACAACGTCATCTTTAATGCATTGGACAGCTAATCATAGGCAAAGGAAACACGTTGATTCCACGCTGTTCGTCTGATGTTGTTCGCGAGATCCTATCTGAGAAACCGCTCAGAATGTGTTTTCGCAAGTGATAAACAAACACAAGAGCAAAACATGCACATCGGAACCAACTGATCATTGGAAGCAACACTGCCTCTGTAACATGGCGCAGTCGGATCCACTCGGGTCGCTCCGACTGTACGGCTGTACTTTGTCGACCTCGGTAAACGGGGGGCTGAAGTGGCCACAGTGTGATAGCAGGACATATTAACCCCGGAATTACGGAGTTTAATGTGCACATAGTCAACAGCGTTCAACGGGCTGTTGGGTGTTTTAATGATACTACGAATGTGATGAGGGTAGTAGATCAATATCTATAAATCGCATGTGTCGTATAAAACGATAGACATCAAAATCTCCCTAACATTAACAATCCTCTGCCAGTCGCCTGATCCAACCTTAGTTTGACTGTAGAAGTCCGTAGGTAAACCTTTCTCTGGATAACCGCTTACCCAGAAATATACGCCGTGTCAAATTATAACACGTTGTTATTTAACATGTTGTACAACATTAATAGAATTACTTTCTTTTTTGGGCGTGTTCTGTTACAAAACTCCGAGGCAATATCGTGACTTTCCCCGTTCCATGTTTAGCTTCTATTTTCACAGCGTCCATGTGACCACCAGTCTGTTGCCTGTGGATTGTGGACTGGTTGGTGATAATAATTCTTACGTTTTAGTTATATATGTATTAGTAACATCGCATTAACACACTGAAGCATTCGTAAAATATACAATAGCTGTTCTACCTTATTAGGTAACAGAGAGTACAGCACGTCACGTTGTGAACGTGACATGTGTTTGTTAGGACTCGTCACTCGCGTACTGCACTCATTATCAAAGGATTGATAATAAGGACATGGTTGTGTTGAGAAGCCTCTAGTAGAACCAGACTTCACCCAGTGGACAGGCCGACTAGCTCTTTGCCTGGCAGTACATGTACTTTATAAATTCTACAATAGCTACTACGACCACCACATCGGGTGTATTTAAAGTTTGAAACATATTCAGGTTCGGAGTTTGATGGTAACAATCTAATGACATTTTTTTGTATGTGTGGAAACATATTATTTCGTTGAAAGACATTGACTCGTGATGACCAGGTTGAAATAGAGCCAGTATAAGAGGTGAATTATGTCTTACACATTAAGCGTTGCAACCTTCAGGTCGTAAACGAGTATTGTTTGGTAGTTCCAGCAGACACAGAATACATGTGTTTCAACTTCAGTAATCTTTGAATGCAGCTGAAAGTTGAAACACACATGCGTCTCTATGGATATCATTTTTACCAACTATAAATAGTTGAAACGGATTTACATACAACTTTTGGCATCTATTTTTGCATTGAAATACTTATATAAAGTAAAAACACATATAATTTGTTTTGCAGTAGACTTTAGTCACTCGTAATCGTATTTAGTCACGCGTAATGTTTGTGAGTTGTGTTTATTAGATACATTATAATGGTGCTGTCCGTATAGACAAACCTTCACCTTCAAATGAAATTGACCTTCACCTTTCAAAATTATTCCGATCGAGGCTGCATTTCTCAGCACAGTGTTCGTGGATTTCCCCTTTACGCATTATAATTTGTCAGTTTCTGCATTTACAATGATTATATGAAGGCAGGTGTTATCCTTTATCGGGATAAGTATACAGGGTGGTGGCCACAACCTACGGTTCGCCGTAGGAGTCACCAAACTCGAATATCAATGCAGGAAGTGTGATCGAACAGTGTCAGACGAGTCATCGATAGTACGGAAAGACAAAAGTATCGTCTGGGGAAACATCGTACTACGCATATTATGGACGTATCTGACGAACTGGTTTGACAGTAGCCTATTCTCATAGGCTTCTGTGTACATTGTGTTTATTCTTTGGGATATAACCGTCCAAACCAGCCTCAAACCTCGCCTCAGTACTTTGTTTTGGTGGGTTTTTCTCGAGCAGAGGAAACAAAATGGCGGATGTAGATCCAGAAACCTTGTTAGAATGGCTACAGATGGGCCAAGGAGACGAGAGAGATATGCAGCTTATCGCACTAGAACAACTGTGTATGCTGCTTCTGATGTCGGATAATGTGGATAGATGTTTTGAAAGGTAAATAATATTTCTTTTTTGTTGGACACACCAAACACTTTCTTGCACAGATCAGCTGGTAGTTCACATAAGGTGAAAACATACGTGTATTCTAAAATTAGTTTTGCGTCATATTTCCAATCCAGAAAATATAGTTAGTGGATATATGGGAGATAATATGATGATAGAAATTTTATTGCTTTTGTTTGAATAATTGTTTTGGATTTTCAATTTATGTGTGTGTGTATGCCAGTATCCATGACATCCTGTTCTTGCTGAGTCTGTAAGCATGCAATTTGATCTGATTTGGATATCAAACTCAATAAGAAATTTTCTGGTTACTTACTAGAGGATGTAGGCTGAAACAGTACCTCTGCAACACTTCAATTTTAGCAGGTTAAAACATCAATTATTCTGATAAAACGTCTTCTGATCATGCAGAATGTTGAGTAAAAATGGTAGCTCATGTTTTTTATAAAGAACAATTTATGTAGTAGTATATATGCTTTATTCATTGGTTTGAGTGCTCTACATTTCACCTTCAATTTTACCGTGTTTCACTATTCTGATAGATTTAAACAACACGGAAGATTTGATTAATATGCATTTGATATTGTCACTTATAATTATTTTAATACTTTGAATTAAATACATGACATAGTTAACCATCATGGTCACTTTCACCATCTAATTGCAACACAGATGGCAAAATGTACTATATGTGATTGTTTCATACATTTGTTACTCTTACGTCCTTGGTTTCATAAGATATAAAATTGTAAACAAAGTGGACATGTTGATTCCTTTTGTCTTCATGCATATATACGATGTTGTCAAGAATAGTGATCTGACTGCTGGATCTGACGGTTTTGAAGACAGTGTCATCTTGATCTTGTGAAAGTACTCATGTAAAACGTCAAAAGATGTAATGTTTCCACAATAGGTTCTGATGTAGTTTTTAACATTTCACAATTATTTGTGCGTCTGATTCTGACTTACTGTTAATATATTTGGTGCATTTAGAAACCCAGGTGCCAAAAAGTAAGGTACTGTTTTCACCTCTCAGTAGGAGCCGTTTTTCGCTTTGGGTGAGGTACCATTTTTTCTGATCAGTTTTTTGTATGGTGACATTTTACTGAGATGCCATTGTTTTCATGGTTTTAATATATATTTTGAATTGTACTATATATTGTTACGTTTTGCACCATGACCTAGTCCATTGCAAAATAGTGTTGTGCACTTAAACTTTGAATGATTGTATCAGGTGCACAAGGGGAAACTGTTGATGTTATCAAGATTGTAGGCACTGTGTTTACCATATAATTGTGTAAGGAATTATGAGATATTAGTTGAAGCTCTGATTCACTGCTTTCAGCTTCGAATATTGGAAGACTGATGTCTATCTTTTCTGCACATAAGTGCAGATTGCTTTGCTGTTTGTACATGCCAGACTTCAACAATTCAACCATTTCATGGCTTCAGTGGTTTACCTCTGCTTGGAGACTTTGTTTGCAGTTTTCACACCCATAAACTGCACCTCTGCTGTTTCAAAGTCTGAGGCCCAAAGTTATTATGGTTATTACCCTCAGCATGTCCAACTGTCCAAGTATCTGTTCACATCATGTATTCACTCAGGGCTGATTATTGCATCTAGCACATATCAAGGACTGGGCTGACATTCCACATGTTCCAGATATTATATCCCCTGACAAATACCATGAATACAGAAATAATAAACGAAAAAGGTTATCTAAGTAACACTTGATGCAACCAGTCTTCTGTATCAGTGATTCTTGATGGGTGTGCTTGAATTCTGAATGGGCTCTTCCTTACTATGTTTGGATAAAATCTTTCTGTGAAAATGGTGAAGTATGTGCTTGTGGTGATTGTTTTTGGTTTGTTTTATCCTTAAAACCATTTGTATCAATGTTTGATATGATTAAAAAACTGTGTAATGACACAGAATCCTGTTCATTGGAGATACAATGCATAAGTAGATCTGTCTGTTGTCATAACGCTTACACACCAAGCAATGACTCTGTGATGCAAAGACTGAAATTCATTAAATTCAGTATATCATGGAAATTGTGCTGTGATACTATTGTACACTTTCTTGTTTGTGTGCATGCCTATTTTGAAGAGAACTGAACAGGTGTTAAACAAATGGCCAGGAAGTATCTGATGGTCAGTGTGTTTGCCTCTTAAGCAAACATGGCGCAGTATAGCAACACCTGAACCCAGCAAGATCTGTCCACAGTGGTACATGTAGCTAAACCTGTTCACAGTGGTACTTGCACTTGTAGGTAAACCTGTCCAAAGTAGTACGTGCACTTTTAGGTAACCAGTCCACAGTGGTACTTGTACTTGTAGGTAAACCTGTCCACAGTGGTACTTGTACTTGTAGGTAAACCTGTCCACAGTGGTACTTGCACTTGTAGGTAAACCTGTCCAAAGTAGTACGTGCACTTGTAGGTAAACCTGTCCACAGTGGTACTTGTACTTGTAGGTAAACTTATCCACAGTGGTACTTGTACTTGTAGGTAAACCTGTTCACAGTGGTACTTGCACTTGTAGGTAAACCTGTCCACAGTGGTACTTGTACTTGTAGGTAAACCTGTCCACAGTGGTACTTGCACTTGTAGGTAAACCTGTCCAAAGTAGTACGTGCACTTGTAGGGAAACCTGTCCACAGTGGTACTTGTACTTGTAGGTAAACTTATCCACAGTGGTACTTGTACTTGTAGGTAAACCTGTTCACAGTGGTACTTGCACTTGTAGGTAAACCAGTCCACAGTGGTACTTGTACTTGTAGGTAAACCTGTCCACAGTGGTACTTGCACTTGTAGGTAAACCTGTCCACAGTGGTACTTGTAGGTAAACTTGTCCACAGTGGTACGTGCACTTGTAGGTAAACCTGTTCACAGTGGTACTTGTAGGTAAACCTGTCCACAGTGGTACTTGTAGGTAAACCTGTCCACGGTGGTACTTGTAGGTAAACTTGTCCACAGTGGTACTTGTACTTGTAGGTAAACCTGTCCACAGTGGTACTTGTAGGTAAACCTGTCCACAGTGGTACTTGTAGGTAAACTTGTCCTCAGTGGTACTTGTAGGTAAAACCTGTCCACAGTGGAACTTGTACTTGTAGGTAAACTTGTCCACAGTGGTACTTGTACTTGTAGGTAAACCTGTTCACAGTGGTACTTGTAAACCTGTTCACAGTGGTACTTGTACTTGTAGGTAAACCTGTCCACAGTGGTACTTGTACTTGTAGGTAAACCTGTCCACAGTGGTACTTGTACTTGTAGGTAAACCTGTCCACAGTGGTACTTGTACTTGTAGGTAAACCTGTCCACAGTGGTACTTGTACTTGTAGGGAAAACTGTCCACAGTGGTACTTGTACTTGTAGGTAAACCTGTCCACAGTGGTACTTGTACTTGTACTTGTCCACAGTGGTAAAACTTGTCCACAGTGGTACTTGTACTTGTAGGTAAACCTGTTACACACAGTGTGGTAAACTTGTCCACGGTGGTACTTGTTGTAGGTAAACCTGTCCACAGTGGTACTTGTACTTAAACTTGTGGTAAACTTGTCCACAGTGGTACTTGTAGGTAAACTTGTCCACAGTGGTACTTGTACTTGTAAAAACTTGTCCACAGTGGTACTTGTACTTGTAGGTAAACCTGTCCACAGTGGTACTTGTACTTGTAGGTAAACCTGTCCACAGTGGTACTTGTACTTGTAGGTAAACTTGTCCACAGTGGTACTTGTACTTGTAGGTAAACCTGTCCACAGTGGTACTTGTACTTGTAGGTAAACTTGTCCACAGTGGTACTTGTAGGTAAACCTGTCCACAGTGGTACTTGTACTTGTAGGTAAACTTGTCCACAGTGGTACTTGTAGGTAAACTTGTCCACAGTGGTACTTGTACTTGTAGGTAAACCTGTCCACGGTGGTACTTGCACTTGTAGGTAAACTTGTCCACAGTGGTACTTGTAGGTAAACTTGTCCACAGTGGTACTTGTACTTGTAGGTAAACCTGTCCACGGTGGTACTTGCACTTGTAGGTAAACCTGTCTACAGTGGTACTTGTACTTGTAGGTAAACTTGTCCACAGTGGTACTTGTACTTGTAGGTAAACTTGTCCACAGTGGTACTTGTACTTGTAGGAAAACCTGTCCACAGTGGAACTTGTAGTTGTAGGAAAACCAGTCCACAGTGGTACTTGTAGGTAAACCTGTCCACAGTGGTACTTGTACTTGTAGGTAAACTTGTCCACAGTGGTACTTGTACTTGTAGGTAAACTTGTCCACAGTGGTACTTGTACTTGTAGGTAAACCTGTCCGGCTGATTTGGTTCCAAGTTCTACCATAAACTTGCTTTAGGCACAATGGATACAGGTTCTTTTATAAATATACTTCAGGTACCATTGATATAGGTTCTTCCACCAACATTCCTCAGGTGCCATGGTTACAAGTTTTACCATAAAATATAGCAGTGGAGATTCTACAGATTCTTGGACTAAGTTGGAGTAATACCATTTTACAATTTGGTATGAGAGCTCTGATATTGGTCATCACCCTAAACAGGTTAAAGCTATGAAATGGTGTAGTATACACTCCTTATGGTAATATTTGCTAAAGGGCCAGATGTATTTCTTGCAAAAAATTACTATTTATACCTTGCGTATACAATAACTAATACCTTATGTTTTGTGTATCCGTAAAAACTACATTTGCTGATTAACAGGTGTATTAAGAAGATACACAACACGAGGGGCCAACTGTCTTCACCTACTTCACCTACTTCACCCACTAACCATATCATACAGCACAGCCATGTTGAGTCTGAACACCTTCATTATGTAAAGCATGTATGGTGTTGCTATGTACAGTTTTCAGTGAATGTGTGTATAAGGTTTCTGGTGTGATCTTTTGCATATCTTTCATTATAATTATTGAGTAAGATAATAGGTTTCTCTTGGTGTGGACTGCATTCATTGAGTTGTAACAGTGTTAAGCTT